ATTTAAGTTGCTCAAGTTCAAGACGTATATCCATATATTTAATTCGATTTGAATACTGTGTATATTTATAACAGTATATTTAATTCTTCTTGACACAAATTTTACAACTATATTAAATATTAATATCGCAAAGTTTGTATTTTTTTTTCTCCAAGGATTTTTTTTCTGTAGAAACATGAAAATATTAAGCCAGCCTAATTAAATGTATATTACCTAGCAATAAATGTATCCATGTGTCATGAGATGAGTTGAAATAAAATGTATGTATGTAAATATTGTATTCAATGTCTTCAAATATCAAAAGTATACTGGAAGCCATGGAGAGAACTTATATAGGCAAAGCCTGTTGCTCAATCCTTTTGTTTAATCAATAAAATATATTTGAAACGTGATAATGAAAAAAAAAAAAAAAAAAAAAAAAAAAAAAACAGCGCATGGTTTCAACTGTTCTTTTATTGCTGTTCTGGTTATTGACCTGGCATCGCCGATAACGGGAAATTTGAATTGTACGAAAAAGCATCAATCCTAATTGTATTTCTTGTTTTGAAACGAAAATATAAGCAAAAAGCTGCTTTCGCGCACCTTTTTCAGTTCGTTTGTGACACATGCCGCAGTTATACAAGTAGGTTTGCAACAACTTTTCTATTTATAGCTTAAATATACGTTACACATGTAAGCAACTCATACAAGCAACAACAATACTCAGTCAAGCACACATAAATGTAAACATGAATATGCAGGCTACATGATTAATTATTATATCAGAAATACAGCCTACAGATATATAAATACAGAGAGACTGGAGCGGTCACTTAGGACAATATTACATTTCTGACTAACTGACCTTGTATGTTATACACGGCAAGTACGAAGGATTGACATTACATACCTCTTTGACGATAAAGTAAGTGACTGGTCAACACACCAGGCACAAACCTGTAAATGCTGCAGTGTATCGTAGGGACGAGTAACCATCATGGCGTGTAACGGGACTTCAGTTTAATGATTCACACACAGACGGAAACAATTGAAATGGGCACACTTTACTCATGTTTCGTCACCAGCATAATCTTTTTGACATAAACACACTCGTTACAATTTTATATTGATCGTTTGCACGTGATTTGACTAAATATATTATATTATGTTTACTCCATATTTTTAATACAAAATGTATTTATTTTACAGTAACTATGAAACATGTCTTTTCAACTTTTTCTAGTTCCTGTTTTGCTCTAGTTTTATAAATTTCGAGTTCGAAATATGGTTTTATTGACACTTGTATGTATTGTAACCATTAGGTGGGTATGTTTATCCTTATTGGAACAAACTGCATCTCTCTTTTATCCGACTCTTGCTTTTTTTTAGCTCAACTTAATTTAAGAGCGTAACAGAACTGGTAACAAAACCCTTGCCAACTCTTGAAAGCAAGATCCCTGCTTCGGAATCCTCTTGTTATTTTCAGAAAGCCCTGGGTTTTAAATGATTACATATGTCATAAACAAATACCTTTAGGTAAAATACACATGAATCAGTGTGTTAATCAAATTATGATATGGCTATAGAATTTGGCAAATAACTTTATAAAAGAGATTACATTATATTTCGAGAAAATGGACAGCTTATTTTGTAAAGTATATATTCTTTTATGTTTCAAGAGTTTCTGTAGACACTAATAAGTAATGCAATCACAATGAATTTAATCACTTGAAAAATAATGAAAATCCGTAAGCCAGTTATTTGTAACTGATTTTCTGACGATCATGGTGGATTTTATGCCGCTTCAATATTTCCTTTTTTCTCATCATAACAATGACATTTTACCTATTAAATGTCGTTGTTTCGTTATTTTGCGGCATAATGGTGACATTCATTTGTCTCTAAATTATCATCATTTCGATTCGAAAAAATGTAATTCGTGGCGCAAATTACAGGCCTTCAACAAATACCATTCAAACTTTTTGGCAACCCACTAGAACACCATTTATTAACTTGAAAATGTCATAAATTCGCTACTTCACCATGGCCGTCGTAATGTTATTTCCCAACAAAATAACGAGACAAACCATTTAAGTCTAAAATGGGATAATTCGTCTTCCAGTTCTAAATGAGCAGGCTAACCGGCAAACGATAAAAAAACCCCAAAAAGAACACCCTAATTTAAAGACTTACTAAATGACGTTATTTCACAGGGAAATTACCCAAACTAAATTTTAAATTCGCTAGGGGTCGCCAAATCACAACACATATTTTAAGGTAAGTCTCTGATGACTTATTGTTTCACTTCGTTTTTACGTGTTTTCGCATTTAAATTTCGTCATTCCAGTTGTCTCAAACTTGTTGTCTTTTCGGGCCAAATAACGAAACGACGGCTTTTGTAAAGCCGTTTAATTTCGAGGATAAAAAGGAAAAGAGGATATTCAACTAAGACCACAACAGTTAAGGTTTGAGATACTAACAAATGTATACAAATCGATCACAGTAAATGCCACAGTCTCGTGACTATAGGTAGAATACATGACATGACCTAAGAGGAAAAGCAGGAACATTGGAGATTGGGGAAATAATTTGTCTATCAGAATTCAAAGGAATTTGAATATGTAAAGATAATAAGAATATCTTGAGGGATTAAAATGGTAAAGTAGGAAACACCAAATTAGGCTTTGGATCTACCCATCGGTGTTTTATCAAGAGAATGTAGGATCATACTGTTATTGTGAGGATCACATCGCTTCTTGTAAAATTATGAATGACGGGAACAATGGCAACGAATCCTACTTGTCCAAACTGTGTTAGTAGTGGTTGCCCCACTTCAAAGCCAAAAAAAAAAAGATCATATACTCTGTAAAAGATGGGGTGTAGTAGAAAATGAAGTACAATTCTTTTCAACCTGCAAGATAGGAATACTTTCAAAATGTATACTTATATCATACATGTACATATGTATTCACAATCATGTCATATTTGATACCTGATTTCACAGCAAGATCTATCTAATTCAATAACGGTCAGGCTTGATGATTTGTTGGTGATACTATCACGTACAGTACCATCGTATCAAACTCCAAAACCATAATATTACCACGGACATTTAGAAAACTGGGAAAATGACTGGCTAATGCGTTCAAACGAAACCTCACCACATTCACATGGCCTCGCCATTAGTACATCAGACTTGACATAGACTCTCACACCACCAACATCATAAACAAAACAGAAAACATACCGAGATTTATACGCAGAGGCGTGAAAGCAAACAACATCAAACATAGGAACACACAACATCAGATACCTAGAACAAGCCTACAAGCCATGCACGTTGACTATTAGAAAACTGCAGGGCTATCTTAAACCCGTGGCAGGAAACGTTTCAAAACAGAATCGAAAGCAAACAAAGACGAAGAGCTAGGTACACACTACGAACACACAGGAAGTGCTACAGATATGTTAAATGCTCCAAAATGGTCAACTCTTCAAAACTGCAGAAAGCATTCATCTCTCGCCATGTTTTACAAAAAAGAATCACGGCCTAGAAGCATTTGAAAAAGAGGAACTAAACAAAGTTTTAATTCCAAAACGAAAATACTTTGTCAATCCTTATTAGACTGCAACTCATCATGCCCGGTCATACTTTTCTGGAGCTATTCGACTGTGTAATACATTGTCACCCAGAACTGCACTGATCTAACACCTTTTAAATCAGATATCACACACATACCATAACCGTCACAACAAGTAAAATATTTTTGTTATGCGATCCTATTTACTATCAGTAGGTTCTCCTTCCTCAGTTATTCATCCTGTCCCGTCATTTTGACATATTTATATCTAGCTGCGATAATGTAGCTTTCTGACGACGAGAATGCAAGATACAAGAAGCTTTATTTACTGTCGTATATGGCATAACATTTAAACATTAGCTCTGTGTAGCTATTTTTACGACAACATGTGTATAAAACAGAGGGATAACAAGGTAAAAAGCATGAAAGTAGAAAAAGTAGGATTATACAGCAAAAACTATATCATTAGAAACTACAAAAATAATCAGAAAACAGTTTGATGATACCACATGCATGGTAAAAGGCAGAAACAGTACTAGTTATTACTTAAGCATAAATCATAAGCATAAAGCATAAAAAAACATATCAGATTTAGCAAGCACATATTTCATATAATATCACAAATGGTTAATTCGATATTTTATATTGGAAAATGATGGAATAAAATACTCAGACAAATTAAAGTAATGTAAAAGGCAAAATCAAAGCAAAAACTCAAATAAAATGGGGGAGCAATAAGATGAAAGTCAGGAACATATAGAACACTGGCAGAGATCACCTTCCCGGGTGTGCAACAGCCTACAGAAAACCTTGTAGTTTTCTGCTTGTCTAATCTCATTCGGTAAGCTATTCCACACATAGGCTGCTTCGAAACGAAAAGATTTCTTACCATATGTGGTAATATTTACTCTTGGTATAGTCACAGTGTCAACTTTCCTGAAATTATATAAAACTTGGTTTTTGTTGATAACACTCCTCAAGAATTCTGAAACAATATTATTTAAAATCTTGTATACTTCCTTGGCCATGATCTTACATATATATAAAAAAATCTGATTTATTCCTATCTAAAAGATCTTTCATACAACTGTTACATGTAACCACGGACTTAAATAAAATCTAATTCCTTGATGTAACGTTACATGGTCTATCTCTTCTTCCAAAACGGAGTGCACACAAAGCTACTCTAGTGCCGTACAACTATAACATTTAATTTTTAGATAAAAAAAATGAAATAGCTGTTTATACACTGGTACGCAGGTGAATCCCTATTTTTATGAAAAGGTTTGTGTGTTCTATTAGTTTTCCTAAATTCTAAGTGTTATGTAAATGTTCAGTTATTGTGGCAAAGTTAGTTTAATTTCTTGTTCTACTTCTCTTGAACTTTTTAAGTGTGTGCTCCCTTGCCTACGAATATTCGAGTTACCTCCCTTCGTGGTATCTCCTCTATGAAAAACACATAAATATTTCCTGTTGTTGGTGGTGTCTCTATTAGATCAAAATTGAACGTTTAGAGGACTTCGAATCAAGATTTATTTGGGTAAGTTGTATAGACATAGAATTTTGGAGACCAGGGATGTCTTTTGTATAAAGCACATGAGCTGAGTGTCATATAAAGAGCTTGTTTTGAGCACAGGTTCGTAACTTGTTAATGACAGGTTGTGGGCGGGTCGATGGTCCCGACTCCAGTAATGCAGACTGACGAGAAAACTTGTGCAAATGAATCACTGCTATTCATAGCCCTTATATAGACTTTCCCTGACGTCTCACTGCCGCAAGACTGATGGAGTTTTCTCTGAATGTTGATGAGCCTGTTTTAATTGATACATCAAGGCGATATAATTAATGTAAAAAGTGTATTGATTTTATGGATAGACATACACATCACTGACATATAGGACTATATCAGGTTGTAAACATTTCCTCGACATTCTGATATTGTCTGGCACTTGGTTCATGGTGGTTGATGTCTTCGTAAGCATAATTCATTGCTTCTGTTGACGCTTCTTCATAGTTGTTCCCTTATTTACAGATTGCGCAGAGGACGGGTATACAACTAAATAATATATATTAGTAGCACAATGGTAAAAACTTGATTGGAAGTTTGACCCAATGCTTATTGAGTCTAGATTTAAAAACATTTAAGGTTGAGGAATATACCACAATTGTAGCGAGTTGATTCCAAATATTTACAATTCCATTTTTGAAAGTATGTCCCCTGATGTAGGTCTTAATATACCGATTTTTTCTCTTCAGTTTTTAGCTCACCTGGCCTGAAAGTTCCTCATTAAAATGACCTTGACCTTATTTCAAGGTCACAGGGATCAAATATGTTAAAAAATTCAAACAACAATATCCTAAGAACCATTTGAACTAGAGTCATGATACTTGGGTATGTTATGTAGACCAGTGAGTGCGAATACATTTTTTGCTCACCTGGCACTTGGTTCACTCACCTTCTTAATAACCGAAAGGCCTAGGGTTTCGATAGTTGGCCAGAAGCAAACTGGGATGGAAGGCTACACAGTTTGTTAAAATTAATGACCTTCACCAATTTTCAAGGTCACAGGGGTCAAATATGTTAATAACTTTAAACATCTTCTTCTCGATAACCAAACTGCCCCGGGAGATGATATTTGGCCAGTAGTATGCTTAGGTGAAGGGCTACCAAGTTTGTTCAAATGAATGACCTTCAATTATATTCAAGGTCACAGGAGTCAATTGTCTTAAAAAACCTTTAAACAACTTCTTCTGAATAACCAAAAAGCCCAGGGTGATGATATTTGGCCAGTAGCATGCTGAAATGAAGGGCTACAAAGTTTGTTCAAATGAATGACCTTCACCCATATTCAAGGTCACAGGGGTCAAATATTTTAAAACCTTTAAACAACTTCTTCTCGATAACCAAACTGCTCAGGGAGATGATATTTGGCCAGTATCATGCTTGGGTGAAGGGCTACCAATTTTGTTCAAATAAATGACCTTCAATTTTATTCAAGGTCACAGGTGTCAATCGTTTTAAAAAAACCTTTAAACAACTTCTTCTGAATAACCAAAATGCCCAGGGTGATGATATTTGGCCAGTAGCATGCTGATATGAAGGGCTATAAAGTTTGTTAATATGAATGACCTTCACCCATATTCAAGGCCACAGGGGTCAAAAATGTTAAAACCTTTAAACAATTTCTTCTCAATAACCAAAATGCCCAGGGTGATGATATTTGGCCAATAGCATGCTGAGATGAAGGGCTACAAAGTTTGTTAAAATGAATGACCTTCATCCATATGCAAGGTCACAGGGGTCAAATATGTAAAAACTTTAAACAACTTGTTCTGAATAACCAAAAGGCTCAGGATGTTGATATTTAGTCAGTAGCATGCTGGGATCAAGGACTACTATGTTTGTTAAAGTGAATGGCTTTGACCTATATTCAAGGTCACAGGGGTCAAATTTATTTAAAATCTTTAAACAACATCTTCTGAATAACCATGGGTCCCAGGATGTTGATACTTTGCAAGTTGCATCCTGAGATGAAAGGCTATACAATTTGTTTAACATAATGACTTTGTTCGACTTTCACTCACAGGGGTGAAATGTTTTAAAAAAAAATAACAGGGTCTATTGAATGAATTCTAATCATAAATAATGATATTTTTCCTGTAGCTTTATTTGAGATCACTTTTAAGGTTACAACTGTGAGATTTATACCAGGTGAGTGATGCAGGCCCATTTGGCCTCTTGTTCAGCTACAGTAATGAGGGCAACGGTCAACTTTAAATGCTTGTCGGGGGTCGAATGTCAACTTTGGTTTAAAGCTTTAACAATCTTCTTCTCAAGTTCCATAAGGCCAAGGGTCATGATATTTGGCCAGTAGCTACAGGGAATGGAATGCTATAAAGTTCCTCATTAAAATGACCTTGACCTTATTTCAAGGTCACAGAGATCAAATATGTTAAAAAATTCAAACAACAATATCCTAAGAACCATTTGAACTAGTCATGATACTTGGGTATGTTATGTAGACCAGCAGTGCAAATATTTTCTTTTTTACAGTAATGAGGTTTAAGGTCAACTTTAAGTGCTAGTTGGGGGGTCAAACGTCAACATGGGTTAAAAGCTTTAACAATCTTCTTCTCAAGTTCCATAAGGCCCAGGGTCATGATATTTGACCAGTAGGTACCAGGGATAGAGTGCTATAAAGTTTCCTCTTAAAATGACCTTGACCTACTTTCAAGGTCACAGGAGTCAAAAATGTAAAAAAACTTCACACGACGATATTCAAAGAAGCATTTGGTCTAGAGTCATGATACTACGGTATGTTATGTACATTATATATATGTTAATTACAGTAATGAGGTCAAATGTCAATTTTAGGTGCTAGCCAGAGTCAAACATCAATGTGGGTTAAAAGCTTTAAAATTAAAATTTCAAATTTCAAACAACAATATCTTGAGAAGTGTTTAAGAGATGTTAAAATGTCTTGTGTTCTAGTTACCAAATTTGGTCTAAAGTTACCTATTTTTCAGTTTCATGTAACAAAAGAAACAGGTGAGCGACACAGGATGAAAAGATGAAAAATTTGTAAAAGTTTCATAAATTTCATATGAAATGAAAACGTGTGCTAGATCCTTTTTATATTTGTGTAAAACAACAATTTTCATGCAACCTTGAAATGTAAAAAGCCGCCATGTTGACTCCAGTGCGGAAGTCTGTGACGTCATTTGCCTGTCCTAAGGTGACGTCACAATTGAAACTTAAAACCAATCACAGGACTGATAGGTCATATTACATGGGTTAATACGAAAAAGAAATGACAGATTATTCACTGGATAACACAGTACATTATGTGATAAACCTACCTCTGTTTTCTGTATATATATATATATTGTTGCCTTGTCCTCTAAATGTGTGCATGTTGGATATCTCATATTTTCAATGTTTGTTTAAAGCTTGCTATATTTAGTACATTAGTAAGTGTATAGCTAGCTAGAAGGACTAATGATCTGTAATACAGGTGCTTAAGTCAGTTGGACCATCTCCCTAAAATAAATTCAAAACTTGGACTTGAGCAAGGCATCTAATGTGTCAATGTGCCAGATTACTGAAACTAACTTTAGTTGTTGACATTATATATGGTTGTATATAGTCCAGTAGCAGCTTTAGTTAAATATATGCATAGCCATAAATAGTGGAAATATAAAAATGTCCTATCTAATAAAAATTAAGAATCATTTTGAAGAGAAACAGGAAGACAAGTTCAGTTTGCATGAAAGTATATTTAAAACAGTGAAATTGTACTGGTCATATTTTCTTTAGACAATGTTAAGTCATCACAACAAAAGCATAGCAATACAATGAACTAATACTGAAATCAACAGAAATCCAACTTTGCATTCTAGAAGTTCCACAGGTATTGTGTATTATGTCTGTACACTAACAATATATGTGTAGTATCAATTTAAACCTGTAACAAAAAAATCTACATTATCACATGTATAATATATGCCTTTACGTGTCTTGATACTGTATCCTTTATGCACATGTACATATACATGTATACATATATGTATGTGTGTGTATATATACATGCCTGAAGTGAGGTCTTAAATAAGTATGCAGGTTTATAATTTGAGACAGCAATATTTTTGTGCACCAATAATATCATTTATACCTGTTGTTGTTTTATTGATACTAGAATATGTGCTACAGTCTGTACAGGTAGTACATCAGCTGTACTAGAGTTTACTAGTCTGTACAGGTGGTACAACAGCTGTACTAGAGTTTACTAGTCTGTACAGGTGGTACATCAGCTGTACTCAAGTTTACTAATCTGCACAGATGGTACAACAGCTGTACTAAAGTTAACTACAGCCTGTACAGGTGGTACATCAGGTGTACTAAAGTTTATTTCAGTCTGCACAGGTGGTACATCAGGTGTACTGAAGTTTACTAGTCTGTACAGGTGGTACATCAGCTGTACTAAAGTTTACTAGTCTGTACAGGCGGTACATCAGTTGTACTAAAGTTTATTTCAGTCTGCACAGGTGGTACATCAGGTGCACTCAAGTTTACTAGTCTGTACAGATGGTACAACAGCTGTACTAAAGTTAACTACAGCCTGTACAGGTGGTACATCAGGTGTACTAAAGTTTATTTCAGTCTGCACAGGTGGTACATCAGGTGCACTCAAGTTTACTAGTCTGTACAGATGGTACAACAGCTGTACTAAAGTTTACTACAGCCTAAACAGGTGGTATATCAGGTGTACTAGTGTTTACTACAGTCTGTACAGGTGATACATCAGGTATACTAAAGTTTATTTCAGTCTGCACAGGTGGTACATGTGGTGTACTATAGTTTACTAGGTGTACTAAAGTTTACTAGTGTGTACAGGAGGTACATCAGCTGTACTAAAGTTTACTACAGCCTGAACAGGTTGTATATCAGGTGTACTAGTGTTTACTACAGTCTGTACAGGTGATACATCAGGTATACTAAAGTTTATTTCAGTCTGCACAGATGGGTACATCAGGTGTACT